TGCTAAGCATAAATCATCCAAAAGTTATTTTCAATTATCAAAAAACAAACAGTAACTGTTTATTGTTTCTGAATTGCACACTAAAATAAGACATCTGAGTCATTGTTTTGTTGTGAATCTGGCCGTTAGACTAAACAACCTTCAGCTGCAAACTTTTGTTTGAGTGGCTGATGATGGTTTCCAGTTATGGTCAATACAGCCAGAAAAGTGGCGTTGGGAGTTTTCCCCTCTGAGAGGCCATACAGTATAATCAAGCGCTTAAATCATATTTTTGTCATAACAGCCTTAACTGAAAACAGCAAACTTGTAAAAACTGTGACAGATGTTGAATTAAAGTCTAAATCATTATTTTCCTACTGCTGTTAAGAAATGAACATTTTTATGGTGAAACACTGAAATAAAGTTCTCCATATCTGATTTAGCCAAGCATCGCTGAGTTAGCATATTCAGCACACCAGATGTTAACGACTGGCAACACCTCACTGACATGTCAGTTTGAAGTTTGAAGTCAAGTTTATTCCAAACCAAAGTATCAACAACCTTTTTTGAAGTGAAAACGTCTTGTAGAAATAACTGGCATAAAAAAGATGGCTGCTGTGAATAAAAAATAGATTGTATTGTTTCAAATTGCAGCAGATGACTCGGGCCTTGCTGAACACAAAAGAAACCGTGAATGTTGCACTTACCTGTAATGTCTTCTACCTTTTAGTCCTAACTTGTTTATAACAAATACACAAATAGTGTGTGAAGTTAAGATTCAAGAGACTTCATACACTTCTGATGTGTGTATTTGTGAGATGTCTGCATGTGTGTGTTTTCTTGTATGCTGATTTAATTAGTGTCTTGAGACTTTTGAAATTCATCCATCATGAATGTTATTGTTTACACCTGTGTTTTTCCTGCTTTGACGTTTCTTTACCTTTGCTTTATCCCTGTTAACTTCGTTTTTTTTTCGAGGCATCTATTCTGTCATCTCATTGCACATTTGCACACACCTGGGATTAGATTCGTTTTTTTGTGTTTGTGTGCTGTGGGCGTCATTAAAAGTTCACAGATATAAACCTTGCACAGCTGCTACGAGAGCTTTACTTTGATTGAAGTGGCAAGTACAGTATGCAGTTCATACATTCATATTGTTAACAGATGTGTGTTTACCCAGACTGTGTGATGTACATTGAGTAACCAGCTGACTCTTCACCTGTAAGCATGCAGACCTACCAAAAATATAGTAAAAGGTCCTGTAGAAGCATATTATCAAAATAACATGTGGTGTTTGTGTAAAGGATCTCACAGGGGGATTGACGTTTATCTATATAAGGTAGGAACCTCTGTTACCGGTCAGGTGGTCCACCCAGAAGTGAAAACAGATTTTTGACCGCCAGGCAGTTGCATGCAAGAGTTACAAGCGGGTGTTTGGTGTGGAACAGTGGAAATCACGTGCAGCCAATGGACGTACAATAAATGATTGGCACGTGCAACAATGCTATTTGAATTGAACTTTCATTCATCCAACAAGGTAACCTTACACGCCAATTAGTAAACCCAGCTGCTGCGCCTCAGTGACTTGAAGCCTCTAGTTTTGTTTTATCGACCAATCATGTTTGAGCAGGCATTGTTTGTATGTAGGAAACCAATGCGTGTGGAGAGCAAAAGAGGTGGAATGCATCTATAAACCTATTGGGTATCATCGAACAATGATTAAAGACGCCATGTGTATGGCCCCAGAGGCTTAAATCATCAGACGATAGCCAATGGTTTGTGAGATTGGTCAATGGACAGAAACATAATCTACAGATATTTTGTCATCTATAATGATTGGAAAAGTTTCCTTAGAAAATCTCTCAAGCTCTTATCAGGTGAAGTGTTGAAGTTTCTGAAAGCGCTGCTCCTACAGCCCAAATTCCACCAGATGCTTGTTCAGGCCGTCCCCGCTCAGTTAAGACAGCAGAGCTGATAGGTGTGTGTGCTTCTACTGGCTCGGCTGCGCTGCATCTCAGCGGACACGCAATGCACAGGTATCTGGCGGAAGTTCTGGGTAATTGACTTCACATAGCTAGATTATGGATGAGGGTGAAGGAGAGACAAGTAGAACTGTCGGGACTATAGCATAGCTGGATTGTCTGATTTACAGACGAAATGATTTGTTCTTGTGGCATTTTCAAACATTTGAAAGCCTCCTAGCTCCTGATAAATGCAGTTTATAAACCTGATCTAAACATTTCAAGTGGTGTAGGAATATCTTATATCTAATACGATAATGCAAGATCAGAACATTGATGCGTTGAGCCCTGCTTAAACTGATCATGAAAAATAATCCTCCACAGCTGTTGCCCCAGGTATGTGTGGGACTTACCTTATAATGTAGGAGACACCTGAATAAATATCTCTGGCACAAGCTAGCCTTTCTATGCTCATTAAGTCAACTGGTTTCTCAAAAGGTCTTATGTATTTGTCCTTGGTGTTTGGTTAAGCCCATGTGATGTCAGCCATAAAATACCCAGTTGTTGTAAATACTTCAAACATCTCATAAAGCGACTCATTTCAACATGTAGCAGTATTTTTATGTCACTTTTTCTTTTTCTTAGCTGACAGTTAAGACAGCTTCACATTTTCCGTTGGGTGGTCAGTGAAGAAATGACTAGTATGCTTTTTAAAAAAACGAAACAAAATGTTTTTATTACCGAGTGTGGTTTAAGTGGGTCGCCGGTGAGTTTAATAGGCGAGGGGAAACCCTGAGCTACAGCAAAGCGTGCAGACTCTCCGTCAGACTGACGTTGTTGGAGGAAGTCAATGATGTACTTAACAACTATCCTCGAGGGCAGGGAGACGAGGGAGAGCTAGACGTATGGGACGAGGTGGAGAGATGGTGAGAGAGAGAGAGATAGAGAGAGAGAGAGAGAGGGGGCTGTGTAAGTCAATAACGTACTTAACCTCACTCCGCAGACTCCCTGTGTCCCTGTTATTGTAAGGAAAGGGAAGATGAAGACAGGGGAGGAAAAGGTGAAGAGGGGGAAAGGGAAGGTGGCAGGTCCCGGGAATGATAATACTCAAAGGCTCTGAAAAAGCGTAGTGTTTTTCTGTCAGCATAAATGTCAGAGTAGTTAAGTGTGTGTAGGGCAGGCAGGGAGGCCGGGGTGCAGGAAGAGCCCCATATAAGAGGGAATAGCCCAGTTTTACAGCCACATAAATCTCCCCCATCCCCACAGTGAAGCTTGTAACCCTCCTCCTCCTCCTCGCTTAGCTTTCCTGCCTTGGTGTAGCAGAACACCAAAACCTCCTTTTGACTTCTTGACTCTATCTTTTTTTGCTTCATTTTTCTCTCTTTCACACACTCTTGACCCATGACCTCCTTTTTTCCCTCCAAGTGCACACTATATTTTCTTCTGCTCTAGCCCTCCAGCGACCTAGACAAGAGCTTCAATATTTCTTTCTACAGGCAGTTTCTTTTCCTCCTTGGTCTGAAATTTTCATCTTTACTTTTCATGATGATCCTAACCAGGATTTAGTTGCGATGTAGCATCATACTGACAAGCAGACCACCAGGTAGGATTACATTTTCTGTCTATGTATTAAGCTCATTCCTTTTCTTAAAAGGTCGGGGAATCTTCCTTAGTGGTCCACATGGGATTTGACTTCTAACATTGCCACATTTAAGCACTTAATTGTATTCACATATGCACCTCATTCCTAAAAAATATCCAGATCATTGACGGTATAAAAGAATGGAAGACGTGAGCTCGGACATATTGTGCTGGTGACAACCTGGAATCTTAACAGGCTTTAACCTGTCAGCCCCAAAGTTCAAGGTTAATGCAGTGTTTTCCCTAAGTGCTTTATAGGTAAAATGGCCACCTTAACAACACACGCCCTATGCCCTAACCATGAAGAGAAAAAAAATGGATTCAAATCCTCCTGCCTCTATGTGAGATCCAGCAGCAGCTGTGGATGATGTTGGATGCTCTGTTCAGATCAGACTCCTGTGCTTCAGGCCGCATGTGATCCACGTGAATGCAACTTTTCTCCATTTCATCTCACCTCTCGGTTACTGGATGTAACTCTACATCCAAACTATACATTGTTGTCTGTCTAGGAAAATTTGTGTTATTTGGGCTTTTCTTAACAGGGAACATCAACATTGAAATCTGGTAACAAATAAGCTCTGTAAAAATAGAAGAAAAATGTTTCCAGCCATTCACATGCTGTGACTGCACCAGTTGGAGACAGACCACACACACACACACACACACACACACACACACACACACACACACACACACACACACACACACACACACACACACACACACTTTGTGACTTAAATCATTTGTCCTGTTGGGATTTGGATACATTTGTAGGAATTCTGATGAGCATATTTTCCTTTTTTACATTGGTGTTCTTCTCTTGGGATTAACAAAATGATTAAAAAGTCTTCAACTCCAAAATTAATTGTGTGCAAGCTGAGAGAAAATCACTACTACTGTACATTTTAAGAGTTTGCAATCTCAAAATTAGAAGGGTAAGTGACAAAAGAACAAAATAAATATATTTTAAAAGGGGTATTATAAATTATTGTCAGAGAAAAGCTGGTGGTTTTTATTGCCATGTGTTGATTAGGTTTCTCTTTTTTGATAGAAGAAGTACCTGGAGTATTAAAACAGATGCATGAAAAGGGACTTGTACAATGCCCCCCCAGAGAATACAGCACTAGTGCTGGATAAGTTGGCCGTCATGGGCATGTACAAGGACTCCCACTGTAAGTGAAGAAACGGAACAACTGAATGATTGTGAAGTTCTCAGCGTGTCTGAAGCTCTAATGTGTAATTGTAATGGAGTGGGTTTATTCTGGCCGTCTGCCCGCTTGAGGCTCTGACGGATTGATGCCATCAGCACATTATTTCATTAACACTAGTGTTTTCATGGTGAACATCTTCTCACTCGCCATTTCTCTCTCTCTCTCCTTCCCTGCCCCCCCCCCCCCCCCCACACTCCCTGTTTGACAGATGGAGAGCGAAAAGAAGAGGAGAAAATACTCCACGAGCAGCAATGACTCTGACACCACCGACAGTAAGTTAGAGAGAGGAGAGGAAGATTCGTGTGTGTGTGTGTGTGTGTGTGTGTGTGTGTGTGTGTGTGTGTGTGTGTGTGTGCCTGTGCCTGTGTGTGAGGAAGCAAGAAACCTGGAAGTGTCAGAAATGTGAGCGCCTGTGCTGCTGTTGTACGCGGAGCTGCCTGGTTTTAGTCCCACAGGGTATTACTTTTATTCTCCCCCCCATATAGACTTTCTCCCTGTCTCACTGTCATCTCTCCACTGCTTAAAACCTCCCTTTTTTAAATGTAGCAACAATACAGATTAGAATAGAGTCAAGTTACCATTAGATATTACAATATGAGGGCTGCTGTTCAGAGATTTATTTTAAATGAATTGCTTATAACTAAAAACTAAAACCAAAATAGAAAACAGGCAAATGAATCCATGTTGGCATCAGATCACAAACAGAAAAGAGGCAGCAGGTCTGGGTTCATTAAACTTAAAAAAAAGAGAGTTTGCAGTTGCACTTTTTTTTTCTTTTCATAGATCATCATTGTGTTTGCTGATTTAACCTCAGTTTTCTGGTGATGGATCTGCTTCTCACAGGACTGCTGTGAACTCCTGTATCATCTTATTATGGTTTATAACTAGGCTTTTAGGAGGAGTTGCACTGTATTAACATAGAGGTGTCTGAAGATCACACTATGCATATAATATTCTGGGCTTTATAACAAAATATGCTACTGTAGCGTAATTAAACGTTTCAGTCTCTGGCAAGTGGTTCTTTTCAGGCCCAGAGAGGTCCACGGGCCAGATTAGATGCCTTGACAACTTGGTCGGAGTGTGCAGCTGGGATGGAGATTGTACGTCGGTTCAGCTATCGTCTCAGAAGCTCCAAGAGGATCCAACAGGAAAAATATTCAAGAGTCTTTTGATACGTCGATTTCCAATTCAGATTAACCGGATGGCCATCTTGATGAATCCAAATTAAGGAATTGGCGTTCAAAATTGAAGAGCAAAGACTTTGGAGAAGAAAGTTCAAAAACCTTGCTTGAGCCAGAAAGAATTGATGTTCCAAAAATTGTGCGTGAAAAAGAAAGTTCGGCAGAGACTCGTCTCTACGGCACAAACTTAGAAGAAGTGATTCGGACCGAAGTCCGAAGAGAAGAGAGCAAGAGCTGAAGCTCTAAACTTCAAGAAGCCAAAACTAAGAGAAAAACCCAAGATCTGAGCTCAGTGTGAACTCTTATCTGCTGGATGGAGGAGGGGGGTCTGCAGGCAAAGAGGGCTTTACTCAATAAGATTAAGAATAAGAATCTAAACATATATACGTCACCATACATTCATTTCGATATTATTTCTATCAGATCCACGTTGATGTAGGTTCACGTCATATATTTAGACAAACATTTCTATCAGATTCATGTTGAGATGAAAATCTCATAACACTATGTGGCAATAGCGCTTCATGTCAAATTCCTATTAAACATAATATAACTCTTATTGCTGTTCTGAAGATCAGATTTTGAGTTTAAAAAGATGATTATAATACATTCACTGTGATAATTACAAATATCTAGATGAAGAAAGACATAAATGTTCATTTGATGCAGAATTGAACGCTGTGGTTTAATTCAGCTCTTCAGCAGTCCTTCAACAGATGGTCAATTTTAGGACTTTGCTTCGGTTGGTTTCGGTCACAGTTCATGTCTTTGGGGTCAATTCGTAGATAGCAGAGTGTTCTGTTTCCGCTCGGTTGTTTATTCCAGGTGTTGTAAAAGTTGATAATATCCTATCTGAGCGGGAGACTTAAGTCATTGATCGGTTCCTTTGTTCCTTAATAAAATAAACCCAGATGTTAATCCACAGTCCTGAGTCCTGCAGGAAGAGATGTTCTAAAACGTGACTGCTGATAACGGCTACACTACAGATGACCTGTGCCCAGCTGTGCTCTCCATCAGTCGCAGAGTGAGTCTGGACAGCGGTCCAGGGTGCAGTCCAGAAGCAGACTGCAGAATGAGTTGCTGCCTTACTAAATTATTGCCCAATACACACAGAACATAACTGCCGATTCAATAAAACTTGCAACTCACATTTGCAGTGAACCTGTTCTTTGGTAAGTCTGGCCTAAAGCGCTTTGGCTGTAATTATAAACACATTTAAAGTGTTGATAAGGTTCCTCTGCTAACTTTAATGAAAACACTAAGAACTGATCTTTGTTCTTCAAAGTTCAATATTTAAAATGTTTATTTATTAAATAAAAAACCCTTCTATCCTTTAAAAAGCTTAAATCTACACATTTGCCCTTATTTAGATAGAAACGCATTGAGCTTAAAAGTTGACTTTCATGACTCTGGGTTTCAAAAGTCAGATTAATAACAATATAATTCAATGTTTGACACAGCTCGATGATTGGCAGACACATTTTTAGCGATACACAGACTGAAAGGACAACTTATGGGACCATACCCTGTTTATAACATGACTTAGACTTTCTTTATTGTTATTCAAATTCGTACTTTACAGTGCAGATAAGAATGGAATTTTGTTGGCTCGTTGTAGTGCAGGATAACACTGCAGCAAGTATTTACATAGAAAAATAAGGTGCAGCTATAAATAGATATAAAAAGAAAAGCTATGTATAAAATTACTATACAGATACATTTATTTCACGTGTGTGATGCTATATTGTATTTTACAATCCAGTGAGGTAGTCCTGTGTGGGGGTTTGAGGGGGAATGGAGGGATTCATTTTTTGTCTTCAAAAGTCTTAGAGGAACTGTTACAGAACCTGGAAATTCTGCTTCGGAGGCTGCGGAACCTCTTTCCAGAGTCCAGCAGCGAAAACAGTCCTTTGTGGGAGTGGGAGGTGTCTCTGATTTTCTGAGCCCTGGTCAGGCAGCGGTTTTTTGCAATCTCCTGGATGGGAGGAAGTGAAGTCTTAAAGATCTTTTCCGCCGTCCTCACCACTCTCTGCAGGGACTTCCAGTCGGAGGCACTGCAGGCTCCGGACCAGACAGAGATGCAATTTGTCATGATGCTCTCTATAGTGCCTCTGTAAAAGGAGGTTGTATGTTTATCTTTACATACAATGTCTGAGACAGACAGACAGACATGAGGACATTTAACATCTGGCCAGTCTTACCAACACTTGCAGCTTCTGTTTGAAAATTGTGTTTTATTAGAAACAAACTAGATCCTTTATATGAAACATTATTAATGGTATTCTTATCTTTTACCTTTGGCCCATTTTTCTGTACTTCAGGATACAAGTACAAGATAAATGCTTTAATTCTGAAATTTGTCAAATGAAAAAATCTATTTCCTTTGACAGTGGTGCAAAAAATAATTCTTGAAATGATATACAGTTATACCGCTTTCAAAAGTCGTTCTTATTCATCCCAAACTGTACAAGATCAGGCAGAGAGGCTTCTTGTGCAGGTTAATGTCTAATGTCCTAATCCTGGTGATGAATTTTGGTTAAAGTACCGCTTCCAACTTAAAAAAAAAAGTTTTTACTTAAATGATGCCACCAGAGGTTAAAGTGACCTCATCCAGGTTTGACTGTTATGTGGTCACAGGTTTGCGTGTTTAAAATGATTTTACAGCTGTTTTAACAGGCTGTTTTTTCCTCACGTAGAGGACCTTGCTGCCTGTTTTCTAATCCGATGTTAGCTGTTAGCTTCCTCTGGCCGGTCCGGTGTGGGCTCCAGCTGCATCTGTTGACTAGAGGTTATCAGGTTTCTAATTGAAGGATGCCCATGATAATTTTGGCTGCTCTGCACCAAGCAGGGCTTTTAATTAACACACGGCCATGATGGTAACCTCCGACTGTGCTGCAGCCTGCTTGGTTATCTCACCACAGTGATGGAGTGGTGCAGCTGCCACATGTGGGGCGTGTGGATCTTACCTACACACACACACACACACACACACACACACACACACACACACACACACACACACACACACACACACACACACACACACACACACACACACACACACACACACACACACACACACACACACACTCAGATTAGTGGTTTGCAGATGTATGAGTACACTCTAAAATGTCTAGCAGATGAGCTCACAGTCCAAATGAATATGTGTACTATACACCTACCCCACACAATTTAAATAGCACTCCTACACACTCACAGTTGAATTTAAAAATCTGTGACAAATGGAAAAAAAACACCAACACAATGTGTCTCGGTTAGGTGTTGTTCCACCTCGAGCCTCCAGAACAGCTTCAGTGCGCCTTGGCAGCGACTCTCCGTGTCTCCTGTGTTTGAATGATGCTTGTTGGGAGCGCTGCTGTTTGACATGCTGCTCCAAAATCCAAGGTGCTCAGGTCAAATTGAGATGTGTTTAAGAGTTTCCAAAAATGAAGGCAAAGGGGCACAAGACGGAATATTTAAAAGGTTCTTGAAGGCATCATGCTACCATCATCATGGTCTTCATTAGTTTTATTTGAAAGGATAAAATTCCTGCCTCCCCTTCTCACTTTAACACAGTGGGGCTGTTACTAATGACAATATTCTGTATACAGTGTCACACCAGAAAGACATAAACATGACATTGACATTGACATCACACAGGCTGTGACACTGGCGTTAGCCTTGTTAGATAAATGGACTGTTTTCTGTGTTTTCCTAACTTTGCACAAGTCATCCAGGATGAATTTAAATTTGCATGGACAAGGAAATAGTCGTGGGAACATCCACAGTAAAGTGTAGACCAGAATCTTATCTGCAAAAATAAAAACTGTCTTTCATATGATCATTTTGATTCGTTGTTTAATTTACAGAAAAATATGCTGCATCATAATGTATACATCTTTATAGGGAAATTAAATATTAGTCATATTGCACACAGCCTTACAGCACAGTCTGTTCAGTGGTACATTTTGACACTTCCCGTCAGAGCAGCTGAGTGGAGGACTAATTGGAAGGGCTGTCAATTCACACCATATTTCTCGTCGTGCTGTGGCAGTGAAAGTGTGTTTGTGTGTATGAAATACAAAAAAGTGGAAGATTTACTGTATGTATAGTTAATTCTGTAGCACTTTGAGATTTGTTTTAAATGAAAAGTGCACTACACATGAAATGTATTATTGTTATTATTCAAGTATAAATGTATATGTGAATGTGTGTGTGTTGTATTGGCGAGAGATGGTCATAGCAGCAGCTCTGCCTTCAGCGCTGTTAGACGTCATGAGTAAAATTAGCTGTACTGCTGGGATGGCGAGGGAAATATGTTGAGTGGGAGGCAGCTAACACTCGCACACACTCACACAAATGTAGTCATGGTCACAATGTGCTATATTACACAGTGTTAGCAAATTGGTATTTTCCATTATGCCACTATGATGTAATTTAATTGCGATATGATGCAACATTTAATGACAGCCTTCTTCACGGTGCACACATGAAAATGAGCTTTCGGTGATATCTGCTGCCGTAGTTCTGTGATTTAAAAATCTATAGAAAAACAGCATAAATGAAATTACACACACTCTTCTGTCTTCTTGGACACAAAGGAAAACACACAGGGCTGCTGATTGAAGCGGTGGGTGGGATATTGGCTCCAGCGTCTGGTTAATTGCCATTAAGCTACATATTAATGAGGTTGTAAAAGACCACAGTGGACTAACTGCTTAACAAGATGCTATTTATACTGTCATTACTTATTAAACCCTTTAATAGATCATCGTCAGTCTGCTTCAATTAAAGGCCTGACTCACGTTTGTAGTGCTGCCATGAGTGTCAGAAACGTAACCTGGAACGTTTGGGTTTGGCTGCTGTCTTTAGTGCTTCTCTGCGGTGTTTGAATCACCTCCATCAGTGTGAATTCCAAAGGCCTTGAACTCTTCAAGCGAACATTTTCTGCATTGATGAGCAGCTTTTTTGCTCACTTGTAAGACACATACTCCCTGCTGCTTCATAATGGCCGATGTTACAGTGTTTTTATTGTACTTGTATTGTAAACACTGTCTACAAAAGCACTTTCTCCAATAGGACGATAAAGTTTCTTTGGAGTGAATTTAAACACACGCTGTGTTCATTGAGTCTGATCTACAGCCAGAGACCTGTTCTTCATTTTCCCCTCTTTAAGCAACAATCACTGGCATATATGCACATTGCTTATGATTCCAACGCAGAAAATATTTGACAGACTTAACTGCTCCAGATGAGTAAAAAAAATTAACAAGTGTAATGCCAGCCAAGCTTTTGACTCCTTACTTGTCAAATACGACAGCTTGGTTTGTGGCCATAAACAGGGACATGAACGCTACACCATAAAGTAGCCAAGTTATATGTACTAAACAAGTAATAATCTACAGTGCATAGATTTTCAAAATAAGGCTTGCAGAAAATTGTTTCCCATTTAAAGCGTTTTGTGTGCAATAAACATTAGTGCGTGGCTACAGGTGCAAGACTGTCAGTTTGGTGAACAAATAAGATCATGGTTTGGTTGTAAATTAGTGCCAAAGTACACTAGTTATGTATGTTGTTGTGTAACAAATACAACTTATGTAACATATCCCAGTGGGAACGTAACTTGTTTGTTTTGGGGATGTTCCCAGCAAACTAATTTCCTAGTCAATAAAATGGAAATTTAAATTCAGTTTGTAACCGACTAGTCTTAATGTAAGAAAACATTCAGATAAGATTGGATAAGATTAGCAGCGCTAGCATTTCCAGCATTCGGTTTTCCCTACAGCTTAACATCCACATGCCTGTGGTTTCCCAAAAAATAGATAAAATAGTATAGTATAGTATAGTATATAGTATAGTATAGTATAAAATAAACGCTTGATGGTGATTTTTTCTTTTCTTTTCCTGGTCTTTGAAGGATCACTCAAGTACTGAGTGAAATAAATGTTTTAAATGAATGTTTTGGCAGACTGGTGATATGTAGGGTGCAATGTCAGAAAATGTGTCCCCTTGTAAAGATTTGGCATTGCAGCGTCCACCATGGGAGCTATTCTTGCCCGATTTTGTGATCTTAACACCTCTGTTATTCAGCTGCCCAACAATGCAGCACAATTTGGGAAGCTATGGCTTAGGAGAGACAAGTTATGTGTATGTAAATATATAAACTATGAAGCATAAAGAGGCATCCCTTCACCTTACAACCAAGACTTACACAACCCAATGATGTACCATGATATAAATATATAGAACACAAACATATCGTAACATACATGTGTGATAGAAGAGTCTGGTCATATTGCTGTAATGACTGATGATTGCTGTCTTTTGTTGTTGCTGCAGGTCAGGTGACGTTGTGGTCCAGGTCATCCAAGAACACAGGCACCAGCAGCACATGGGTCCGCCACCAGCACAAGAAACCATCAGAGGTATGTCAATGTAGCCCTTCATCCAACCACTCAGGCATTGATACAAGTACACAACAATGTGTTTAATGAAGCACAGCCTCTGTTTGACCATTACAAGCTCATGGTTTGCTCTATTGCACTGCTGTCTGTTGTTTGTTGTGGCTTTGCTGAATTGTCACAAATTGACAGATTCCAGTGAGTCGTGTGGTGTTTGGGGTTTGCTGAACACTGGCATGATGTGCTGCTTTTATGATCCAGTGGATAAACTGAACCAGATTAGCTACCAAAAGTTAGGCCTGTGTAGAGTTTCTGGAAAAACTCAGACGGCAGAGTTTTTATACCCTGGGTTGTTTCTTGTGCAGAGCTGAATGCTGACAAATAACACACCACAAAACCCTTCAAACCAAAAAGGTGACATCATACAGGGATTAATCTCTGGTTTGGGTTTCTGCATTTGATGGATCATTGGTACATCTCTCTTTATAAGGTCATGAATACACAAAGTATCTTCTTATGCATGCTCTGCGCTGACTTGTTAAACTTTGTCATTGTCACTTTATAGATTATGGACACATTATGCTCAGTATATTATTCCTTGAATTTCTCTCTGAGTTTAATAAAAGTTATTTTATGTGTTTGCTTCTTTGTTTTTCGCCTGAGCTACAGGGTCACTTGAAACTAGATTATTTTCAGAGCATGGAAATTTATAAATAAATAGGTTTAAGAATTATTTGACCATTGAATGCACGTCTTGTTGCTAAATGATGCTAATGATGTGGTTTTTGCTTTTTATTGTCGGTGTTTTGTTTTTAACTCTTGACCTTTTTGCTGCTGGTTTCATCAGGCTCTTTGCAAATCAGAGTTTTTTTATAGATATATTTTTGCTAAAATGAAGGTGAATACATTAGATCATCTTTATGCATTTAAAACACTTTAAATCACTTCAATACCCTCCATGGCTTTACTACTTGGGTTAAAGTTCAAACACTCCTGTTGTGTCCAAAGTAAATACAGCCATCTCCGTTACCGCAGCTAAATCAACCAGGCGCATGGATGGCACAAGATGGTCGGCTAAAATAACGGGTTTGTTCATCCATATGGTCATGATGAACAATCCCAAGCTCTCCTAAATGACCACCCTGAGGAAGAAACTGGCATAAACCAGTTGGAAAATGGTGCAGTGTACCAGTTGTGGCTGTGGTCGCCCTGCCACAATCACACATTCCTCCCACTGTGTCAGTGAAGTGGGATCAAATCTGTTTAACTCGTCTCTTACCGTTTGAGGAGTTTCACTCTGAAAATAAGTATCTGGCATTTGGAACAAATTACATCTTCTCTTAGAATGTAGAATGGGATATTTTTTAAATAAGTGGAGTAGAGGTGACAACCTCGGATGGCACTTGTGAAATTCTGAAGTACTTCAACACAAATCCTTAAACATGATATGGTAACATCATGAAGAGGGTAATATGGTCTGGCCTCTGCCATCATTTCTCCAGAAAATGTCAAACAACTATGTAAAGACCATTTCTCTTTTTTTTGTTCCCCTGTTGAAAGGGCGATGAGTACAGCTCTTAAAACACAAATCTTTTAACAATATGAATTGATATCTTTTTAGAGGGAAAGTTGCCCACCAAGTGCTACTATTTCTCCAAACCTTTTCCTAAATACTGCACAGAGCACAAATGTTTCCTTTTTGTAACTCTCAAAAAAGAGAATGAATGAAGCAAAGTGGCACTCATGCCCCCGAACCACCCCGAAGTACAAGTCATCAGCAGAGCATCTGTCAAGCCCGTGCATTTGAAGCGTCCTCCCCCTCTGCTCCATCCAGTTAACCACAGGCTGTTGGAAGGTCCTGTCAGCAATCAGTCTCTCAGTAATTACTACTGTAGCTCGCTGCTTTGACCCGGGCTTCGAATTGAAGAGCCAGAGGGCCACGTTCCCTTTCATAATGCTGCCTCCTCACACCCCTTCAGGGGGAGGGATGCTTCCCTTCTGTAAATGATGATGTTTTGCAGTAATCTTTTTGCTTTTTTTTTTTTTTTTTGCTTCCCTGTAGCAGTGAGTGACAGGAAAGGTCAGAGAATGAAAAAGGGCGGGATTGACATCTGACAAAGGTTCAGAGCAAAGTTTTGTCATGTTGGGAATGTTAAAGTGTATCTGAAGTGATGTTAGGAAAGCTTTACTTGTCTGGAATGAGAAATGTTCTGGCATTTATCTCAGAGCTGCAGGAGACATATTGATAGATCATACTGTTCTGGGTTGCTGGTTTTAGCTGCTTTTACTTCTTGGGAGCTTTCTTACTTGTGGATTTTTTTTGTCTGTTTTTATACATGTTGTCAAATTAGGTTGTTTTTACTCCTAAGAGACTGACATCAGTTCAGCTGATTCCTTGTACATTTATTGATCAAGATAGGACAGTGGATAGAGTAGGAAATTGAAAGTGACATGCAGGAAAGGAGCCGCAGGTCAGACTTAAACCCGGTCCACCTGCTTGGAGGACTACAGAATTCATTTATGGGGCGCAAACTTAACCACAAGGTCATCAGCGCCCAAACAATAAGTGTATATAGAATTTGTTGTTTGGCTTAAACTAAGAGAAATTAAATCTCAGGTATGTATGAAATAATGATATGATGAAAGTATTACTGATATCAAAATGTAAATGACTTTTTTGACCCAATTATATCATTGGTATAGACCCTTTTGTTTTGTAATCAACGTGCAGCAGATTATTTATTTTCCAATTGTATGTTCCTGCACCTGACCACCACCTGAGTATGTGGGTTGGCTGTGCTCGGGTATCCTGTTTGTTGTTTGTACAAAATGACAGTATTGGATTAACAGTAGTTAAGTTAAATGAATGCAGTCATTTCACCTGATACAGTCATAAAGTAATGCTTCAAACAGAGTCTGAATCATGCCAACTTCATGCAGCGATTTACAAGGTTGGGTGAAGGCGTGAATATTGGCTACATTTAAACCACTCTCTTAAGCTATTCCTTTTTTACTTTGATTCATTCAACTATTTCTGTCACTGTACTTGTGTTAAATTACTACGAATGTACTCTTCTCTTCCGATAAATACAAAGTCCTTTAAAACTGATCAGGAAGGCCATGGGATGAAGTCCACAGCAACTATAAAAGCCTTCAAGTGTTACCACCTGGTACATGTATATCAACAATGTGCCTTTAGACATGGTGCATGACGGATGTGTATTTTCACACAACAACAGGTATTTTAAAGGTAAAATATATGGACTAAGAATTGCCCTTGAGCTGAATTAGATGAGCTAAACCCTTTGAAAGCAACCTGCTGCATTTCAACTCTTAGGTGTTGGTAATATCTGTCAGTGTCCTGATGCAACAGCAACATCATGTTGTATGCTTTTCAGGTCAAACATCATGACCCTTTACCTTGTAGCACTTAAGTGAAGCAGGCAGGTGAAGTCAGGTTCCTTCATTTCACTTGTGATACAGTGAACTCCTCCTCAGCTGTGCAGAGAGGAGTGTTGCTGTCTTTGCTCAGCTGCCAAATATGGTTTCTACTAACTTCAACAGTGTCATTGTTTGTGTTTGACTTGCCAGATCTTTTTTTTTTACTTACTTTAAAGGCAATGGGCAGCAGCCACCATGACACAAACAGAGAACAGGCACCCTGGAAATGATCACCAGAACAGCTCAGAGTGTAGCATGAGGGAAAGAGTGTGGAGTCTGCTTCTTGACATGACGGAATGAAAGACCAGAGAGGCTTTATTTGCATCGGAGAAGTAGATAAATGAGCTAATAACGAACAGAAAAGCAACAAGCAGCACCAAATGTCACATGTAAATGTGACATTTGGTGCTGAACTTGCTCATGAGCACGAACTGAGGCCCCCTAGTTTCATTTGTTTAAAAAAAACAAAAAAAACATTAGTAGAAGATGCTAATCAGTGCTTTGTCAAAACTTTCAACTGATGAACTCTGTTCAGGGATTTTAAAAACACATATACACCAATCCAAAGTGTTATTTAATATACTCCTTACATTTAAATACTTTGCATATGTTGTCGTTGGTTGATTTAAAGATAATGTGAATTGAAACTTGGCCGTTATTGAGTTTCTCCACCTCATTACAAAATGAACATTAATGTTGCTTGTTGAAAGTAAAACCCTGATCAACAAAAAGTCAAAATGTGGTACTGAAGGTGATAGTTTTTCAGGCAGTGAGAATCCTCATCAATTCAAATTGAACAGTAGCTCACAACGTGGGTGAGTTTTTGAAAGGAAACTCGCCCTTCACTGAGGGAGGTGTGGTGAATGTTAAACACTGTGGACTTATAATGACAGCGTAGCTCTTTTCTAAAAATGAGTGTGTCTATTTGTGCCTTTTTGAGAGCCTTCACTCCAGTGGAGACTTTTCTTAGAAGTGGTTCAGAGAGCTTCACTTGGTGGAAGAACGACACATTTGAATGCTTCCTCTCTCTGCAGGGTTGTTTATATCTCACTTTAGATGAGGGTTAGATTGATGATTTTGATTTTTTGATTTCCCTGACAAACAGGAAGTCATTATGCCATACTGTATAAACACAGACAGCACATATTTGGTTTTGTGGTTTAACGGTTCGGGAAAGAAGACAGACGCTTAAAACAAACAGGGCATATTTGAGCTCTCATGCACCAACCGTAAATAAAACAAAATCCTTGTTTGAAAAATATACTGTAATGTTGTGTAACTGCAGCGGTACTGAGTCACAAGTCAGAGGGATGACTTTGGTCTCATCTTTTCTGACAAAAGCGGAGCTCCCCCAATCTTTAGTAAAATCCCCCTTTTCTCCCCAAGGGGATTGTGGGACACTTGTCAAAACACTACATCATGGGCAGAGGACCCAAACACATACACATTTATTTGAGGGAGCTGAACACACCAGACTCAGACAGAAACATGAACACACACTTGCACTTTTCAGGTCTTTTAGTATTGATAAATTGAACCAAACTATTGTAATGGTGCGGAGAATGTCTGTTTTCAAATTCTAT